AATCAGGTGATACTTTGCAGCAGTAAAAATGATCACATATACCCATCTGCATCAAGTGAACAGATCTCAAAAACCTAATACTGAATAAAAAAGAAAGCAATCATGAAAGTGTACAGAAGTGTTACTCCAGATATTTAAGGTTCACAAAGAGGCCAAACTAAGGAATATGTATCTTAGGATCCATACTTGCATGATAAACTATAAAGAAAAGCAAGGAACTGGTTAGAACACAATCAAGATAGTGTTTATGTCCACTAGGTAGGAGACGACACGATATGAGCTGGACACACAAGGGCTCCTACACAGTTTTAAACTGGTCTGGGTTCATGGGAGTTCACTTTATCACCATTCTTTTAACTTGACATATACATTGTAAACATGTGCAACTTTTAAACTTTTTAAAATAATTTTAAAACAAGCACGAATAGGAAATGGCCACACATTTAGAGCTTTAAGCTTTTGTTCCTGTGGGATCCCAGCTCCCAACCCCATTCCAGGCCTGCAAGCTGGCCCAGAGGCCAAGAGGGACCACCACACCCCAGAGATGCTGTGGAGGAAAGAGCCCTGGGGTCCTGACTTCACATCCCAGCCCTGTGCAACTCCACCCATCTGTTTCTTCATGTAAAAAGAGTACCTAGCAAAATAGTTGTGCATGGTAGGGACTCAGTGAATATTTGCTGAACAAATGAGTCAGAGATTTCTAAGATCCCAGTCATACGCCCCTCATCCAGATGTGTTCACCAGGGAGAAACTGTGCCTGCAGCTCCTAGCACATCCTCCTCAACACACACACGAATATCCCAGAATTTGAAGTGGCAAGTCAGAAAGTTATCTCTTCTGTTCAATCCAAACTTTTGGTATTTTAATGTTACAGATTTTCTCTCCCAAATGCCAGCTTCTCTTTCATTTTTCCTTTCACTGTCACAACAAGCACACAAGTATTTTTGATGGAATTTTACCAAATGGCACATCTTGCATTTTGTAAACCTTAAATACACAAACTCCTCTCCCACCACTCTGCCAAACTCTCTCTCAGAACGTGTTTTTGTCTCTCTGACCCTTGACTCTTGACTCAGATGCCCAGTCCTCAGGCTCCACCCAGGGAAGGACATGCCTTTGTTTAAAGGGAGGCTGAGGGGCAAATGAGGAAGGATCAGTCCTCACCTTGCAAGAGTGGGATCTTACATATGACATTCATTAGCAAGTGACTGACTGGACAAAGCTAGGGCATGCCAAGTCCATTCCACACACCCCATCCTTGGCATTAACTCTGTCTGGCTGGGGCTAGGAGAAGAAGGTTGGAGCCTAGCAAGCCCCGGATTACAGAAATAGGATGGCGCCTTGGCTAAGTGCATGGGCATCGAAGTCAGAAAGAATCTCTCTGAGCCTCACGTTCCTCATCCGTAAAATGCAGCAATAATCCCACCTCAGAGAGTTATTAAATGGCTTTAATCAAATAATATATGTAAAGATACTTGCAGATCAGCATCAAAAAAACAAAAAAAGTCACTATATCCCCAAACCACTTCTGTTTGACTTTGGAAGGAATGAAACAGTCTTTACACTCAATTTGCTTTCTAATTGGGCTCACTGCAGCTAGTGTTGCAGTGATCGGGTGGAGGAAGGGCCCTGAGGAGTTGTGGAGGCACCATTTGTCTTGGGCATATCAGCAATGTAAATCCACCCACGGCCCTCGGAGAGGCCAATGCCAGCCAAGCTGAGGGAGCATCCACACCCCGAATTCTTGGGGCTGCATCAAAGAGCATGTGGGCTTCTACCGCCTTGGCTCATCTAACATGTTAAAAATGGGCCAGAGGTTGGGCTGTGCCTGAGGGGCATGGCCAAAACAAGTAACAGTGGTGAACGTTTTATAGAGAATGTTTGGGGTAGAAACCCTGCCTCAAAGGTTGTCAAATCAGGGGGCCAATGACCAGGGAAGGCAAAGCCAGGAAGTTCTGCATAGTACCCAATGAAAGGGCACTGGTGGGCTTCCCTGGTGGCGCAGTGGTTAAGAATCCGCCTGCCAATGCAGGGGACATGGGTTCGAGCCTCGGTCCGGAAAGATCCCACATGCTGCGGAGCAACTAAGCCTGTGCACCACAACTACTGAGCCCGCGTGCCTAGAGCCCGTGCTCCGCAACAAGAGAAGCTACTGCAATGAGAAGCTCGCGCGCCGCAACGAAGAGTAGCCCCCGCTCACCGCAACTAGAACAAGCCCGCACGCAAGAACAAGACCCAACGCAGCCAAAAATAAATAAATAAAATAAATTTATATTAAAAAAAAAAAAAAGAGCACTGGCCTCCAGAAAGGCTAACGCCAAATGGATCAGCACCTTGGACAGCGACAGCCAAGTGTAAGGCAGCTCTGAAATGCCTGATTCTCCCCTACCTTCCAGATCAGAATCTGCAAACAGGGCAGGATGTTGCCAGCCCGTCCCCGCAAACATGGTGCTTCATGGAGCAATCACAGCGCTTTTATTGCTGAGCCTACATGCTTCCTCAGAATCCTTCCCAACACAGCATTCAAGGCTCAACCAATTGCTTGCGGTGGTCCACCAGAGGAAAGCTATTGGGTACCCTGTGTCTTTATAGAATTACTACTAATAAAGGCCAGTTTAGTTGAAAACTCACTTCAACCCTACCAAAGGTAGCAAAGGTCTCCGTGTCAGAAAAGAGGGGCACATCTTTTGGTTTGATTGGAGGGTCTGGGTGGGAGAGGAGAGGGGCAGAGGAGTGTGCCTACAGAATGAAACATCTGTTTCCTAGCTCACCTCCCCTACCTCAGAGGTCAGACTATTCAGTGTCCCTGTCTTTCCCCCCATTTCTCCTTTGTCTTGTGTGAAAATTGTTTGAAAAGTCCATGTCCGCATAAACGAGTTGGTTCATTCACACAGTGACAATTTCTTAGGGCGTACTGTGTGCCAGCCACCATGCTAAGCAGCAGAGACATAGCAGGGAGCACATGGCCCACTGTCTTGGAGCTTAGAGCCCGGGTGGGAGTAACTGCTCATCAAGGATTAGCCCTCATGAGTGTGTTGCAACAAGCTGAGAGCAGGCTGAAGGAAGGAGACGTGTGTCTGTGAGAGCATGTAACCAAGGAACCAGCTCTATGGGAAAGGGAGGAGTCTGCAGACAGGTGGAGATCAGGCGCCCTTCCTTGGGGACTTGATCCTTGAGCCAAGTGGGGGTAAGGGATGTAAGAAGAAGAAAACACAGAATTTGAGCGAGTGCCATTAGGTGTCATTTGGTCTTCAAGAATTACAGGAGCCCAGATGCGATAGGTAGGCTGGAGAGCTGATAACTGCTTCCTATGGCTGAGGTTCCCATCAAAGCCACCTTAAGGGCTTAGGAAGAACCAAGGTTTGAAGAGTTTCTATAGGTCAGAGCAAAAGGAGAGCAAAGAAACCAGGAGCAGTGAGGTGGGAAGGGTCTACAGACACTGGACCTTCAGTCCTGGCAGTGTCCACACCTCCCTACAGGATGCAGCCTCAGAGCAGACCCAAGGTCGGGGGTTGAACCACCAACACAAAGGGTTGTCAGGGGAAGGCTGGGCCACTAAGAGGTGCTATGACATGGTCTCAAACGCCTTCCCAGAGTCAGGGATTGAGCAGGGTTGGAAGGAGAGACCAACTCCTGGACAGAGTCCAGTTCAAGCGCCTGGAGCCTCCGGCTGCCCTTCTCCCCATCACCACCTCATCTTAATTTCAGCACAGTGACTCTCTGCTCTTTCAGTTCCTTCTGGAAGACTCTCAACAGCATATTTGCTCAAGAGCTGAGGACAACATTCTGGTCTTAGAGAAGCAGAGTATTTAGGCAAAGGCAAACATATGCTGGTTTCTCTTCTTAGTTACATCCTTGGCAAAGGAATTATTTCACCAAGAGAGAAAAACAGGACTTTCGAGGGTCCACCCCATTCTACCCTGGTCCCAGCTATGCAGCTGCTGACCGTCACCAGTCCCCCACACCCTTTAAAGACACGTAATGTGGGTGGCAGTGGCTATAAAAGGGTAGCATGGGAACTGCTCTGCATCTGACTGTGGTGGTCACATGAATCCACATGTGATAAAATCGCACAGAAGTGAATACACACACCCAAGTGCATGTCAACTGGTGAATATGAGCGAAGCCTATGGATTGTGTCAAGGTCAAATCCCACTTGTGACATGGTATGACAGGCAAGATGCTGGAGCACACAGAATCTCTGAATTGTTTCTCATAATTGCATGTGAATCTCAATTAACTCAAAATAAAAAGGTTTTTTTTAGAAAAACGCATAAGGTGGAAACCATTTTATCTTGGGACTAGAAATGGTCTGTTTTCACAAAGCAGTCATAGAAAACCTAAAGCTATTTCCTCAAAGCCCACTGTTCTAGTTTCCTCACAAGCAAATTATGATTTTTTTTTTTCATATGGGAGGCCTTCAAAGAAGCCATGACCAGCCATGGCCAGTGTCTCCAGACCCACACAACCCCAGCCTGGCTCCATGACATTCAGGGTGTCCCTCCCCCTGACCTTTGCCCCAGCCAGAAACCCTGAAACTGAGGGCAGATCAGGGCACAGGGAGATAAGGAGCTGGGAAGGCTGGGAGAGCGGCCAGTGAGAGGGGAACACTTTGCAGAGGAGGCTTCCAGGAGGACCCATGCTGGCCAGCCTCCACCACTGCCTGCGTGCCGCCCTTCAGATCCCTGCCAGTGGTTTATTAATATTTTATTGAAAACTCTTAAGATGATTCCAACTTCAGCTGTCATGATAAGGTGTTGTTGCTAGGCAACTTTAGCTCCTGTCTACAGATCTGTTTTCAGAGTCCTTCCCCCACTCACAAAGCTCAAGGTTCAGTCCTACCACCCAGAGACCCACCTGGCTCAGACCACCAACCGCTGTCCACACCCAGCCCACTCCAAAGCGCTCAGCCTCCACGAGCGATGGTCCAGCTCGCAGGTCTCCCAGTGCCTGGCCATGCCCCCACCAGAGCCCCAGAGCACCCCCTACCCCCAACTCACCGTACTCGCTGTCGTAGAACATGACGAACTTCTGCCAGCGCAGCTCTGTCACCAGCCTGAGCATGACATCATTGAGGCGCACGGGAGGTCTGGAGGCCAGCGTGTAGGCCTCGCCGTCAGGGCTGGGGTTCAAATGGCAGGCGGTACGCGGAGAGCCCCCTGGGTTGCGCTGGACAAAGAGGTGTGGGATGTGCATCGCATCTGTGAGGGACTGCAGGGCGTTGGCAGACGCACAACCGGTGGATGTGACCAAGGCCAAAATCCCCTGGGTCATGAGGTCACAGGCTGGAAAGAGAGGGGAGAGAAAGGGTGGGGTCAGCATGGGGGTGATGCTGCCCTGGCTTCAACTGGCACAGTTCATGCCAGGCAGCTCATTCCCAGGCTTCCAAGAAACACTGTCTCCCTCCAGGGACCAAGAACCCATGTCAGGCCAGGCCAGGCCAGAGGCTCTCACAGGCACAGTCTATGATGCCCTAGTGATGCTGCCAGCTAGATGTTCTTGTGTCCATTCAACAGATGAGAAAACAGAGGTCAGGAGAGGCAAAATCACTTGTCCTAGGCTACTCAAGCAGGGAGAGTAGAACAGGGACACAACCCACATCCGCCTGAGACAGCCATCAGTGCTACTAAATTAGCCATCCTGTTTCCCACTTGGGCTGTGAGCTCATTTTGTTGACCCATGTATTCCCAAGGCCACGCCACAGGCCAAGAATACACTGTGTACTCTACAATTGTTGGCTGAACTGAACTGATTGAGGCTGAGGGGAACGAATAACATCAGAAAGGGCTTCCCTGGTGGCGCAGTGGTTGAGAGTCCGCCTGCCGATGCAGGGGACACGGGTTCGTGCCCCGGTGCGGGAAGATCCCACATGCCGCGGAGCGGCTAGACCCGTGAGCCACGGCCACTGGGCCTGCGTGTCCGGAGCCTGTGCTCCGCAACGGGAGAGGCCACGATGGTGAGAGGCCCGCGTACTGAAAAAATAAATAAATAAATAACATCGGAAAGCCAGGGAGAAACTTACCCCGGAGGATCCAGATTGTAGGCAAAACCCCCCAGGAACCCTAGGTCTTCTGGCCAAGTCCATTTGATTCATATCATAAAAATACTAGGTCAAACCCCAGAGGAAGCATTTGGTTCCAGAAGCCCAGGATTATTCAAAAGCCACTTGACAATAACAAAGGAAGATGCTCGTGCAGCAGCTGGGGCGCTGACTGCAGGTGTGTAGGAGGAACATGACCAGGTGCCAGCAGCTATTTCTAGGGTAGCTGCGCTCAGGGATCACCTTTTGAAGTCATCCAGCAACCATGAGTTCCAGGAACCCCTTTTAGCCATACACTTAGACCTTTTTGGAACATCAGACCAATTAACAGAAAGATGCACCTCCCAACACTGCAACCCACTGCACCAGTTTTGAAGCAAACACTTATTAATAATGCTTTATGTGATGGCAGGAATGTGGGGAAGCAGATGCGGTTTCAAAACACAGCCTGTGAATGTCAGCAGGCCATCTGCTGCAGACTTTGTTTTTTTTTCTTTAACATCTTTATTGGAGTATAATTGCTTTACAATGGTGTGTTAGTTTCTGCTTGATAACAAAGTGAATCAGATGGACCTAGAGTCTGATGGCAGACTTTTGAACAACTTTGACAATACGGTTCTTTCGGTTGAAAGCACCTGGGTTTATGTAATGCCTCCGACCAGGCTGGGAGGAGGAGATGGAGACCAGGGAGAGGAAATCCAAGGAGCAAGGTAGTAGGAGGCTGGAAAGGTGCGGGAAGAGGAAGACACCTCCAAGCTTTCAAATACCAAAGGCCAGCTGCTCCCCACGCACAGACACTCACCTTGCACGTTCATGGGCTTCGGTAGGAGGACAACTCAAATGCCCACAACTCTCCCGGCTGAACCCTCTGCCTCCAAACACAAGGCAGGAGGAGGGGGTGGTTAAACAAGAGATTCTCTGCAGTCTCTCTTGAAGATCATGCAGCCACCTAAATGCTCTGGCCCCTCGCATTCAGGCTCCATGCGGCCAAGTTCACTCCTGAATTGAAATCCAATCATGTCATGCTACTGCTTAAAGCCCTTTGGTGGCTCCCAAGACCGTTGCGGACAGAGTCAAACTCCTTGGGGCAGTCTTGCAGGCTCCCCAGTGCCTGCAGCCTCAGGTTCCTCACACGCCCCCGCCCGCTCTGTTACAGACCACGGCCCACCTTTCGGCCCCTGGAACCCATCACATTTCCTGTGGCCTCCTGAACCTTCACACCCACTCTCGCTTCAAGACTCAGACTCTACAACCCCAGACTAAGGACCCTTTGTCAAGTGCTTCATCTGCATCCCACACTTCCCCTATTAGGACACTGCACTGCGTGTATAACTGTCTCTCTCTCCCACTTCACCTCAAGCTCCAAGGGGACAAAGGCCATGCCCATTCTGCTCACCATCCTTTTCCAGACACACAGTGTGTCTGGCACACAGCACTCAGTAAAGACTGATACAATAGTACCGTAAGCCTTGACATTTTCACGCCCTCTGCTCAATAATGCCACTTTGGGCATCCATCCAAGCTGTAAAAATGGCTTCAGGTCCAAAAACATTCAGAGGATACTTATCCAGACTCTTGATATATTTATTGCTAACGATCTAAAAGATGCAAAGAGGTGAGTGACATAAAAGTGTTCCATTTGTCGAAAGCACACACAGCCTTTAAAACCATTTATGAAGATACTACAGATGGGAAAGTGCCTGTCATAAAATAGTTATGTGAAAGTAATAGAAAATTGCATGTATTTTATGATACCAATTAAATAAAACTTAACATGCATGAAAGAAAGATCAAAAGGAAATACTGCAGAATGTTAAAAGTGACTGCATTTTAGAAGAGGTCTAGACGTGGTTTTCCTTCTTTTCTATATTTTGCCAAAATTTCATGTCGTGAACAGGTAATTCCTTTACAAAAGGAAAACAATCGTCCAACAATGGATAAGTATGAAGCTATGTAGGAGGAGGGACTATTTTGTGAGAATTTTCTCTGTGCCAAAAACTCTGTCGAGTACTCTATATACATGAGTTCACATTATTCTCATGACATCCCTGTACAGCAGGCATCACTGTGTCTATTTTCCAGATAACAAGATGTGAAGCCGCACAACCGATAAGGGCTGGACTAAGATGGCTTCTCGTCTAAAAATGCTTCTGAGGGGTGACTAAGTGACAAAACCAGGGCACGACATTTTACGCTCGCCAGGATTACGACTAGGCAGAAAGCATGCTTATGAAAAAGGCAAGAGAAAACACTAAAAGCCGAGGTCTCTGATGATAAATGGATTTTTCTTTCTTCTCTCGTACACATTCTCTTCAATGCTGATACACTGCATTAATACGTTTAAAAAGTAATCTTACGGGCTTCCCTGGTGGCGCAGTGGTTGAGAGTCCGCCTGCCGATGCAGGGGACGCGGGTTCGTGCCCCGGTCTGGGAAGATCCCACATGCCGCGGAGCGGCTGGGCCCGTGAGCCATGGCAGCTGGGCCTGCGCATCCGGAGCCTGTGCTCCGCAGCGCGAAGAGGCCACAACAGCAAGAGGCCCGTGTACCGCAAAAAAAAAAGTAATCTTACAAAACACACTGTACATCACTAGGGTGTAAAGTTGCCCAGGAACTCCAGCCCCTGGTCCCGGCCCAAGACACCCACTGCACCATCACTGGGTCTTGGCTCTCTGTCGTCCACCCCACCTGGCTCCCTCTCAGGGACTTCCTGACTTCTGATGGCAAGCCCCATCCCCATTCCACATATGCTGGGTTATTAAGTCACTAGACCTCCCTGAGGCCCAGTTTCCCCATTTGGGCACTCATCCCACTGCTCACCATGGCTGGATTTGTCTCTTCCCTCTTGTGTGTTTCACGCATCACTCAGCACACCCGCTAAGCACAAAGCCCTGCAATGAGCACTGGGGAGGGGGAGGGGCAAAGGGCAGGATGAACACAGGCCCCATCTGAGGAGCTTAGGATCTACCAAGGAGCCAGACCCCACAACTAGGTCTGTGAGGAAGGAAAGGGGAAGATCCCTGGGACCCAGAAGAGGATGAACTCATGTGGGGTCAGCATCAGGGCCTGAAAGGAAGAAAAGGATTTAGACCAGGAGAGATGGGGGGAGCAGTGTGAGTGAGGGGTGCAGTGGGACAAAGACACAGGGGCTGGACAGCGGGAATGTGCTCAGGGAACAGGTCCCCCTGCCCCAGCCCCGGCGGCAGCCAGAGACACCAGCTTCTTGGCTGGGCCTGGACTCACCAGGGCAGCAGAAGGAGCGCTAGAATCTCACAGACCAAAGCTCCAGTTTGGGCTCCTCTGGCCGGCGGCCGTGTGGCCACGGGCATGTCTCCTTCCTGAGCCCCCATTTCCTATTCATTGAAGATATGAACCTCTACCCAGCAGAGTTACGGGAGCACTGACTTAGAACGTGGACCACAAATGCCAATCCCGTGCCATGCACAAGAAAAGATGGTAAATATTAATACATGTCAGTTTCCTGCCCCTCTCCTTGGGCATCCCCAGCTCCCCATCAATGTCCCCACCCAAATCGTGCCCAGGATCCCAAGAAATAGCAGTTACAACAGAGAACGACCTCACTCGTGCTGCTGACCAACCCTCCCCGTGGAGGTGGGCACCCTGACCCACCCCTGTACGGACACCTGCAGCACCACGGAAGCTCCTCAAGGCCTCGACCGCCTAGGTGAGCAGGGTGGGTAATTAAGGCTGGAAGCCTCTCCCAGGCACTAATGGAGAAGCCTGATACAAGTCAATTTCTAATCCACTGTGAATGGCTGCTAATTGGGGCACTGTTGAAATGACGGTTATTTAGAGGCTCCTAACACAAAAATAACAAGAACAAAATACATCAGATCAAAGCCACACCAGCTATCAGCTTAAACAAGGTTGTGTGCTCATTCCTAGGATAGGACATCACACAACTCACAACCCAGTTGTAGAACAGACACCGAACCCCAGTGCTGGCGTCCGACGGCTTGGATCTGAATCCAGGCCCTGCCACGTACATGCTGTGGGACCTTGGGCGAGGGGCTGACCCTCTCTGGGCCTCTGTGCTTTTTCTGTCAGAGAAAGATCACGGCACCCACTTCACAGAGCCGTTGTGCATATTCTCTGAAAGGTCTTCATATGTGAAGAACCACTTGGCACTGCCTGATGCATAGTAAGAATGTAGAAGTCACCTGTCTCCAGCTTACAGGTGCCTCTGCAGCTCACTAGAAGATAACAGCCTTTGTTACCATTCTTTG